TAAAAGCCGTTGTTCTCGCCAACGGGTTCCATGTTGGATCACCAACATTTTGGTCCCATGACCCTGAATGTTAGTATTAAATGCGATTAGTGAGGGCACTAGTCAGGTGGCTGAGACCCATTCTTTAACAAGATGGTGACCGACTGGACCAAAGCACTAACGTTGGCAGATAGATTCGTTTAGCCCTAGAGAAAATATTTAGAAGAAGTGACACCTGAAATTCATTGGGGAAGGGTGCTTATTTGCATAAATCGAAAATACCTGCCGTGTAATATATTTGTTCCCGTATATGGGTATATTATTTTATTTTTTTATTGTATGAAAAGTAAATTTAGGTGATTCTACTTACACTTCCACACTCCAAAACATTTGTAGGGCTTTAAGAATGTATCTGCCAACTTTGTAGCTTTGGACCAGTCGGTCACAATTCCGACCGTATGCCACCTGACTACAATGATTACTGTTTTTTCTGTTCGTTTTCCATGGTAACCATGGCAACGATGGACACCGTAGATAATTTTGTATTGTACCATTTTGACCCTTGATTAAAGTAAAAAAAATCATGCCAGTACAGGCAGCTTGGGGATGCAGTGCGCCCTTCTCGTCCAGACAATGTTAAAAATGAAATACAATCGGATCACTGCTGATGACAAAGTTCTCGCTGCCGACCAACATGAACAATGTGTGTGTGTCTGGCAGTTTCAGTAGTAAAAGGCGTCGTCAAATTCGTCCTGATCCATTCTTCGCATCTGTAATTAGAAAACAAGATGCAAACTGCGGAAAGTTTGAAATGGTACATTTGAATGGTACACAATGGTGAGTGCGAATTGAAACCGGAGTAGCCTTTGTAGTTTCCGTAGAAGACAGTTTTGTAGCCCTTCGCAATGTAAGTCAACTGACCATAAAGCACACGCGTTCGACAAATCACGTGTTTGAAATAATTTACTGCGATGTCTTATGCGCCTTTGATTATTTAAAATAATGGAAACAGCGCAGAGTTTTGAGTAAGAATTTTTTTAAAGTTAACAGGCATTAACTTATAATATTTATATTTTACTGTACATTTTGTCTGTAGTAGAAGGCGTCGTCGAAGTCGTCAAATCGGTCCTGATCCATTCTTCGCATCTGTAAAAGAAAATCAAAATGCAAACGGCAGCAAGTTGAGATGTTCCTGTTTTAGTAACTTGTAGCCTATACTGTGCCAGCAGGCGCGTGCGAATTGAAACCGTAGCTTTTGATTTCTGTATAACACAGTCGTGTCGCACTTTGCAATGTAGTCAACTAACCATAAAACGCATACGTCTAACAAATCACGTCTTTGAGCAACAAAATACTACGTGATTTTAGATGACTTGATGAGGTTCTGACTTGATAGATTATTTTTTAAGAAGTATGAATGTTGGTTATTTAAGATTCATGAAATAAGGTGGTATATTTTCAACCAACGGAGCAATGCAATTTGGATCATCATCAATGTATAATTAGACTGCTCATGAGACATTGATCAAGTTAAACCGCAACAGTAATTATTTCACACTAAACAGCCTTCCCCCCCCCGCAAAAAAAAAAAAAATGCTGCAAGCAGAAGCGGGCCCTTTGTCCTTGGAATATTAAAAATATTTCATGATGCTTATATAATGTTAAACCTGGGATAGTCAGCTTTCAAATTCTATTTGTTTTATCAATTTTGCTTTCGCCAAACCAGAGATATGGTCCGCTGAACACAAACACTCAAAATCAATTTGTGCCACTTTCTACATTGTTAGGCCTAATAATGACATGACAAGACATGGCACCTGTTCAAATCCAACTACAATTCAGATTCTCAGTTCCAGAAGATATGTTTTTATTTTGATGATTTGGAGAGTGTAGTACAAATAATAAAAAGAACATTATAATATGAATAACAAAAGTGTTTCTTCACCGTATTAACTTACGGAAAGTGGCACAAAATAATTTTTGAGTGTTTGTGTTCAACGGATCATATCTCTAGTTTGGCAAAAGCAAAATTGACAAAACAATTAGCATTTGAAAGCTGAATATCCCATGCTTAACATTATATAAGCACTATGAAACATTTTTTAATCTTCAAAGGACACAGACCCCGTTTCTGCTTGCAGCATTTTTGGGGGGCAGGCTGTACATGTGCTATATAGCTCGTCAGCTACCTCACAAACGTACAAGGAATCATCTACTGCAGGTGTTCATTTCATGTGTCCCCCCTTCCCCCAAACAAAACAAAAAAAAACCTCAAAAAAAACCAAAACCCCAAACAACACTTACCAGGGCGGGTCCAGGGATGATGTACGGCAAGGAGAAATTGGGGTCACGATATATGTAATCTGGACGAAATGGGAGGTCTTCATTCTAAAATGAAATCAGAAAAATCCTCATCGTGTTATACTGCGCACGGTTTGAGGAACCTTAGTGTTGGGTAGATTGTCGTTTCAGCTGCTAAACAATAATTGCAATGTTAAGCGACTATGTATACCCAAAGTTATACCATATTTTATTTTACGAAACATTTTCTTGATAAGTAAATTTATTAAATTTGATTGTACCTGGTGATTGTTCTGATATGGCCGGGTGAATGACGCACGATCGTGATAGTGCCTGCGGTTCAGTTCGGATGACTGACGAGCCAGAATTTTATAGCAGAATACCATTGCGACAATGATGATGAGACTCACCAACACGCCACCGACAACCGCAATGGCAATGAATCCGCCATTAACGCCTTCTTCTGTCACTAAAACGAGAATAAAACACCAAACAAACCTTATGCAAAACGGCAATCTCATCGGGGATATTGTGTTATTTTAATTTAGTAATAATGCAATTTAATGCACACAAAAGCTTCAGACTTGCATATCCCATCAAAACAAAGGCATTGCCTTTTAAGATGGTTGCAACGCATAAAGTCTATAAAGAAGCACTTCCAGACACTAAGAGAATTATATACACTCTAAAACGTCCCTGGTCACACTAGACCTGACTCTTTTCCGGATCAAAAAACACTTTTTTGGGGGGTCAAAATGAGACTATTATTGAAGACTATTAATGGTCCTTTTAAATAGAAGTGTCATTTTGACCCAAAAACCTTGTCCGCTTAATTTTACACTTCTTTGGGTCAATACGCCACTATTATTGGTCTTGTGTGATCCAGAAGGTATCAATTTGGCCATTAGAAGTGTCATTTTGGCCCAGAAAAATGTCAGGTCCATTTTGACCTGGATTGTGCTTCTGATCTGACCGGGAAAGTTGAGAGTGTCAGTAATTTCAAACAATCAAACCTGAAATCTCGCAAAGGCTGCCAGTGAAACCGTCCATGCATCTGTTAAAAAATAAATCCTCAGATAATTAAGAATTCTTTGTTTTGGACATGTGTGTAATATTGAACAAATGTGTGTCAAGCTGGCACGATGATTCCACCGGTAAGAGTCAGATGTAGACGAGACAAATTTGAGATGATCAATGTAATGAAAGGGAATGGTGCATGCCTAGCAGTTAAGTTCTAAGCCGTAAACAATCAAACATAAAGGGGTCGATAAACGGGCTAAATTCATTTACCATAATCATTTGCCCAACCAAAGTATGGGAACATTAAGTTGGCGTACACAAGCCGACATTGTCCTCATGAAACACTTTGTAACATTAAATGTAAGATTAGAGTAAAATACAAGGCAAACTTTTTGTCCGTGTTTTTTTTACTCTGCAACGTGTATTTTTGCATCAAGTTATGTTTAAAGGACTTGTCGAACATGTCAACTCAAACTCGCCTTTAAATTATCACAATTCATTATACCAAACTTTATATTTAAATTATGATTCGCATGCACATCGTAATGAACAATGCCAAGCAGAGACCAGTGTTAAACAGAAATACCTGCAATTGTACGCATAGTCTGGAAAGCTTCCTTGCTGTTCACAGCTACCAGAGTTTTGACAGTGGTACGCCGGACACCCTTCAATTGTATCTATTGTGCAAACAAAGAAATGAAGCAAAGATTGATCAAGTCGTTTGTTGGAATCAATCCAAGGATGATTGCATTTTCTGTTCAAAGACTGGTGCCTACACACGACTGCATTAACAGAGTTTTCATGATTTAGTACAAAAGATAGTGTAATGTTTGTTCAATGCATTTTCTTGTGATGCGGACGTGAGAGAGGTGATTATGAGCGTGCACATTCCAAAAGGTGGATGATAATTTAGTCCGGCGCCACGGCAATAACACGGCGTTAAAAACACAGCTTTTCGGAACGATGATAACATGGCATAGGACGCCAAGTAGTTCACGTTAGTGCTACAGCAGTGCCACATTAAATTGATTTGACTGCATTGAAATATAGAAAATTTCCAATAATACGTACCATGCAAGATTGTATGGTATCGGGATTCATATTCTTAAAATGACAAACAATCTTGCTGTCTCTTCTGACTTAACTGAACCCTTTTGACACCTAAGCTGAAAAGACAGCTGTTTGGTTGATGTCTCATAATATGAGACAATTATTTTTGGTAGTCCTCACTATTTATCTCATTATATTATAGTTTGTTTTAAGTTTTTGTCGGTAACATATTGTCAATCGTAAGAAATAGTAGTTATAGTGGCGGCGGCTGGTGGTGATGGACAACCACATTAGGGAGACAAGGTAGTTTAAAGAGACATTTCAATGTTCCCTAATGCCATAACTCTTATCTACAGACAACATTTTTACCGTCGTAAATATGCTATGTCGATTGCCTGTTGTCTAAAACATAAATGTACCGAAAATGCGTGGGATAGGATAAGGTTAAACGGGGGTAAGGGGTCATGAAAGTTTGAAAATGTTTGCGCAAACCTCTATGAGAATGTCCCCCTAAGGTACCATTCTCGGTATCTTAATTCATTTTCCATTTAAACACATTCAGAAACCAAAGTATGTCGTTGGAGTAATCTGTCCATAGTGACTGTTTAAAACTGCCCATAATGGACTGTGTTACATACGATTTAATATGTTTACGTACTTCTAACAACTGTAGCTTCCGGGACAATTGTCAACATATTGTCAATCTGTCCATTGTTGTTCATTGCACTGGTAACAATCACATCCCGTATGGTCTCACTATCGACTAAGGAGTTGGCTGGATATCTGGCAACACCATTCACAAGGACACTGCCACTCATATATGACGTAACGTCGAATCCTATGAGAGTAGACGTCCTTGCCGATCCACGAAGAGTACGAAATACCTAACAGGAGTTAAAAGTGGTATTTGATTATCGAAATACCAGTACATGCCTAACACACCAAAAAGAAGTCCTAAAAGCCCCCAACCCCTTAAAAAAACCCCAGAATATCGTCACAATATCACAAAGTCATATGTCTTACCGCAAGTTGGATTGGAGTCGACATAGTCCGAAACACCTGGGAATTCTTATCAGTAAGTTGAGTGGAAAAGAATACTGGTTCCCCGTTCAAATCCAGGATCTGAAGCTGAATGCTAATCTCCAAAAAACCTGAAAAAAATGTTTAACAATGGAAACTCTGCAGCAAACCCGTTTTATTTCTCATTTTAAAAATGAGGTGTTGACATATACAGATAATTCTGTTGAGGTCAGTGTTTGCCAGTGGCAACTTGATTTGCCAGTGTTGGGTTGAACTCAATAATTTTGCATAGAAAACGAATGACGGTTGAACAATCTAATTTGTAGCAACCAGAGGGAAATCACAACGCTTGTGAATAGAGATGTCATTTTTTTTTTGTAATTTGTTTGAAAAAAAGTTAAAAAAAAAGCAATCATAATGTTGGATCTTTGTATTTGAGTTTAAATCATTATTATTCACTATATTTAGAATGGTACAATACTCTACCTGACGACGGAGCAGTAGTGGACGCAATAGCGGCAGATCTCGTAGAGTGCAAAGCATTTGTTTTGGGAGAAGAACCTGTAAAAGTCAATGTATAATCACTCCTAAAATGTTGTACCTGACACTATTTTAGAGAAAACAAAATACGCCCACACTAGGCATATTGGAAGTTCTACATACAGTCAACAATGTTGCATAGAATGAAAGATGACATTAGTTATGTTATGTGAGCCGCTTTGCTCAATGGCTAGGTAGTGCCGTATAAATGGAAGCACAATGTGATAACGATGCCTGGCCTAGCCTAGGTGGCCTTAGACTCAGGAGCTGCGGACATCCCTTCAGTTCAAACTAGGTTTGTCACTGTCGATGAATAATCGGCGCACAAAGTCAAAGAAGAAGCAACCCCCTCCCCCCCCCCAAAAAAAAAAAAACCCACAAAACCAAACAATCAAACAGTGAATAATGTACTGAGGTCAGTTATGTAATCCGTATTTCCCACTGAAGTGGTAGTGAAGTCTAAATGAGAGTCAGATGAGAAAACGTTATTAACTGGCCCAGTCTCGGTGTTTCTGGACTCAGTTGATTACGACTGAGTCAATGTTGATAGAACATTGGCGTAAAATTAAAAGTAAAAGAAGCAAACGAAACAAATTTAAAAATAAACAAAAAAAAACAGTCACGATATAGCGTAATTATCAAATATCATACTTATTGTTTGAACAATGTTTTATAATTATACGTTCCGCTTTCGTCAACAATACTTTTTGTAGATATGAAGCAATGAGTGAAATTGATTAAAAATGATTTTCTACACTACAAGTGGATACAATTATTCATTCATTTTTTACAGGATTAAGATCGTAGTTATATCGTCGTGATATTGAAATGACACCATTTAAATAGCTTTATATTTGACTGAGAAACACTCATAACCCTTGTCAGGCTTACGACTTATCTTAATTGTGATACACCACGTCAAAAGACCTTGCATCACGGCGTATTAAGACGTGATGCAACGAAACTTCATGTAAGAATATATCATGAATATCATCAAACTTCATTTACATCTAACAGAAGATTCTATTGATATAGCAGTAGGCGTTGCGGTCGAATCTCGAGAGATGGGCTGATTGGTGGAGGATGATCCTGACGTCATTGAATAATTAAATACCAAACAAAGTATTGAACAATAACAATGAAAACAACGGTTGCATGGTCCGAAGAACATTATTTAATATAGGTGAAGAACACTACCATGAACATACCACTTATCAATGAAACGTGTATTCAGTTGAGTGCAGAACGCTCAATGAAACTAAATTTCAAACAAACATTGGAAATAAATGATTCACAAACCTTCGACGGGACGCTCTGTTGTTGAAACCTGAGTCATTTCAGTGGTGCCTGGAGATAAACAAAAAGATTTTAATGGAATCATAACACCAATGCCGTGTAAATTTAGTAATCACAAATGTTGGTAAATGTGTATTCAACGTAAAACAACAATTGTATACTTGGTATATGATTAACACATTAACTGCCCTAACTTGTAACAAATATTCCTTCAGATGATTAAACACGGAAACTTTGCCACCTACAACGAATTATGAGTATTATGACCACGTTGTAGACCTACTCATTTGTTTCAGGTATTGAGAGTTTCTGAAGAAAAATCCTCAACTTTCGGATTATATATCTGGCAGCTCGAGAATTCGAAAATTCGAAGTAACATGCCACCATAATAGACGAGGTCTTTGTTTCGCTTACCAGGCGATCTGCTTTGCCGAAGGTTTTTCTAATATCCCGTATTTCATAGCAGAACAACAACAAGTGACAATGGACCACTTTCCAGCATTTGTGATTTGTTTTGGACTTCAGAAATATTTTAACTTAATTAATTAATTGACAGTTTGTGACGTTTCTAAAGGATTAAGATTGTAGACACATCGTCGTGATATGAAATTATACCATTTTGATAATTTGAAATTTGACAGAGAAACAGTCGATAGCCATTATTAGGCATACAACTGATACTGATACACCACGTTAACCCACCATGGATCACGGCATTTTCAACCATGATGCAATGAAACTACATGTAAGAACACATCATGAATATCATCAAATTTCATACACTAACCTCGAAAAGAAGATTCCGTTGAGAAAGCAGTAGGCGTTGCGGTCGAGTCTGGTGAGATGGGCTGATTGGTGGAGGATGATTCTGACGTCATTGAATAATTAAATACCAAACAAAGTATTGAACAATAACAATGAAAACAACGGTTGCACAGTCCGCAGAGCATTATTTAATATAGGTGAAGAACACTATCATGAACATACCACTTATCAATGAAACGTATATTCAGTTGAGTGCAGAACGCTCAATGAAACTAAATTTCAAACAAACATTGGAAATAAATGATTCACAAACCTTCGACGGGACGCTCTGTTGTTGAAACCTGAAACATTCCAGTGGTGCCTGGAGATAAACAAAAAGATTTAAATGGAATCATAACACTGCAATACCGTGTAAATGTAGTAAAAACAAAATGTTGGCTATTGTTTATTCAATGTAAAAAAAATGCATACTTGGTATGTGATTAACACAATAACTGCCCTAACTTGTAACAAATATTCCTTCAGATGATTAAACATGGAAACTTTGCCACCTACAACGAATTATGAGTATTATGACCACGTTGTAGACCTACTCATTTGTTTCAGGTATTAAGAGTTTCTGAAGAAAAAGTCCTCGAATTTCGGATAATATATCTGGCAGCTCGAGAATTCGAAAATTCGAAGTAACATGCCACCATAATAGACGAGATCTTTGTTTCGCTTACCAGGCGATCTGCTTTGCCGAAGGTTTTCTAATATTCCTTATTTCATAGCAGAACAATAACAAGTGACAATGGACCACTTTCCGGCATTTGTGATTTGTTTGGGGCTTCAGAAATAGTTTAAATTCATTAATTTACCGTTTGTGACGTTTCTAAAGGATTAAGATCGTAGACACATCGTCGTGATATGAAATGATACCATTTTGATAGTTTGAAATTTGACAGAGAAACAGTCGATAGCCCTTATAAGGCATACGACTGATTCTGATACACCACGTCAACCCACCATGGATCACGGCATATTCAACCATGATGCAATGAAACCTCATGTAAGAACACATCATGAATAAAATCAAATTTCATACAGTAACCTCGCAAAGAAGATTCCATTGATAAAGCAGTAGGCGTTGCGGTCGAGTCTGGTGAGATGGGTTGATTTGTGGAGGATGATCCTGACGTCATTGAATAATTAAATACCAAACAAAGTATTGACCAATAACAATGAAAACAACGGTTGCACAGTCCGAAGAACATTATTTAATATAGGTGAAGAACACTACCATGAACATACCACTTATCAATGAAACGTGTTTTCAGTTGAGTGCAAAACGCTCAATGAAACTAAATTTCAAACAAACATTGGAAATAAATGATTCACAAACCTTCGACGGGACGCTCTGTTGTTGAAACCTGAGACATTCCAGTGGTGCCTGGAGATAAACAAAAAGATTTTAATAAAATCATAACACCAATGCCGTGTAAATTTAGTAATAACAAAATGTTGGCTATTGTTTATTCAATGTAAAAAAAAATGCATACTTTGTATGTGATTAACACAATAACTGCCCTAACTTGTAACAAATATTCCTTCAGATGATTAAACACGGACACTTTGCCACTTACAACGAATTATGAGTATTATGACCACGTTGTAGACCTACTCATTTGTTTCAGGTATTGAGAGTTTCTGAAGAAAAAGTCCTCAACTTTCGGATAATAACATGTGGCAGCTCGAGCATTTGAAATTCGAAGTAACATGCCACCATAATAGACGAGGTCTTTGTTTCGCTTACCAGGCGATCTGCTTTGCCGAAGGTTTTCTAATATCCCGTATTCCATAGCAGAACAACAACAAGTGACAATGGACCACTTTCCAGCATTTGTGATTTGTTTTGGACTTCAGAAATATTTTAAATTAATTAAATAATTGACAGTTTGTTACGTTTCTAAAGGATTAAGATCGTAGACACATCGTCGTGATATGAAATGATACCATTTTGATAGTTTGAAATTTGACAGAGAAACAGTCGATAGCCCTTATTAGGCATACAACTGATACTGATACACCACGTTAACCCACCATGGATCACGGCATTTTCAACCATGATGCAATGAAACTACATGTAAGAACACATCATGAATATCATCAAATTTCATACACTAACCTCGAAAAGAAGATTCCATTGATATTGCAGTAGGCGTTGCGGTCGAGTCTGGTGAGATGGGCTGATTGGTGGAGGATGATCCTGACGTCATTGAATAATCAAATACCAAACAAAGTATTGAACAATAACAATGAAAACAACGGTTGCACAGTCCGAAGAGCATTATTTAATATAGGTGAAGAACACTACCATGAACATACCACTTATCAATGAAACGTGTATTCAGTTGAGTGCAAAACGCTCAATGAAACTTAATTTCAAACAAACATTGGAAAAAAAATGATTCACAAACCTTCGACGGGACGCTCTGTTGTTGAAACCTGAGACATTCCAGTGGTGCCTGGAGATAAACAAAAAGATTTTAATGGAATCATAACACCAATGCCGTGTAAATTTAGTAATAAAAAAATGTTGGCTATTGTTTATTCAATGTAAAAAAAAATGCATACTTTGTATGTGATTAACACAATAACTGCCCTAACTTGTAACAAATATTCCTTCAGATGATTAAACACGGACACTTTGCCACCTACAACGAATGATGAGTATTATGACCACGTTGTAGACCTACTCATTTGTTTCAGGTATTGAGAGTTTCTGAAGAAAAAGTCCTCAACTTTCGGATAATAACATCTGGCAGCTCGAGAATTCGAACATTCGAAGTAACATGCCACCATAATAGACGAGGTCTTTGTTTCGCTTACCAGGCGATCTGCTTTGCCGAAGGTTTTCTAATATCCCGTATTTCATAGCAGAACAAGAACAAGTGACAATGGACCACTTTCCGGCATTTGTGATTTGTTGGGGCTTCAGACATATTTTAAATTCATTAATTTACCGTTTGTGACGTTTCTAAAGGATTAAGATCGTAGACACATCGTCGTGATATGAAATGATACCATTTTGATAGTTTGAAATTCGACAGAGAAACAGTCGATAGCCATTATTAGGCATACAACTGATACTGATACACCACGTTAACCCACCATGGATCACGGCATATTCAACCATGATGCAATGAAACTACATGTAAGAACACATCATGAATATCAAATGTCATACACTAACCTCGAAAAGAAGATTCCATTGATATAGCAGTAGGCGTTGCGGTCGAGTCTGGTGAGATGGGCTGATTGGTGGAGGATGATTCTGACGTCATTGAATAATTAAATACCAAACAAAGTATTGAAGAATAACAATGAAAACAACGGTTGCACAGTCCGAAGAACATTATTTTATATAGGTGAAGAACACTACCATGAACATACCACTTATCAATGGAACGTGTATTCAGTTGAGTGCAGAACGCTCAATGAAACTAAATTTCAAACAAACATTGGAAGAAAATGATTCACAAACCTTCGACGGGACGCTCTGCTGTTGAAACCTGAGACATTCCAGTAGTGCCTGGAGATAAACAAAAAGATTTTAATGGAATCATAACACCAATGCCGTGTAAATTTAGTAATACTATAATGTTGTATTGTTTATTCAATGTAAAAAAAAAACATACTTGGTATGTGATTAACACAATAACTGCCCTTATTTGTAACAAATATTCCTTCAGATGATTAAACACGAAAACTTTGCCACCTACAACGACTTATGAGTATTATGACAACGTTGTAGACCTACTCATTTGTTTCAGGTACTGACAATTTCTGAAGAAAAAAAACACTTATCAATAAAACATGTAATCAGATGAGTGCAAAACGCTCAATGAAACTAAAATTCAAACAAACATTGGAAGTAAATGATTCACAAACCTTCGACGGGACGCTCTGTTGTTGAAACCTGAGACATTCCAGTGGTGCCTTGAGAAATAAAACAATTATTTTAATGGAATCATAACGACGATGCCGTGTGAATTTAGTAACCACACATTTTCGTTATTGTATATTCAACGTAAAACAACAAATGTATACTTGGTATATGATTAACACATTAACTGCCCTAACTTGTAACAAATATTCCTTCAGATGATTAAACACGGTGACTTTGCCACCTTCAACGAATTAGGAGTATTATGACCACATTGTAGACCTACTCATTTGTTTCAGGTACTGACAGTTTCAGAAGAAAAAACAAATCCTTAATTTTCGGACAATATTTCTGGCGGCTCGCGAATTCGAAAATCCGAAGTAGCATGTCACAATAATAGACCTGGCCTTTGTTTCGCTTGCCAGGCAATCTGCTTTGACAAAATTTTCTAATATCCCGTATTTCATAGCAGAGCAATAACAAGTGACAATGGACCACTATCCCACAATTCGTGTGTTGATTTGGACTTCACAAATATTTGTAATTCTTCAGTCATTTACCGCGTGTGATGCTTCTCAAGGATTAAGATCGTAGGCATATCGTTGTGATATGAAATGACACCATTTTAACAGTTTCGAAATTTGACCTAGAAACACTCGATAGCCCTGATTAGGCATACGACTGATTGTGATACACTACGTCAACAGACCTTGCACCAAGACATGTTAAAACTCGATGCTGATGAAAAAGTAAACATATATCAAGAATATAATCAAACTTCTTTAGCATCTAAAACAAGATTCCTTCGATAACGCCGTAGGCGTTGCTGTCAAATCTGGTGAGATTGGCTGATTGGTGGAGGATGATTCTGACGTCACTGTTTAATTGAAATGAATGAATGATTAAAAAATAGAAATGATAACAACGGTTGGCTTGCAAGAAGAACATATTTTATACAGGCGTCAAACCCTCCCATGAACATACCACTTGTCAATGGAACGTGTACTCAGAAATAAGCTGAATAAAACAAAATGTACAACAAACATTGGAAGTAAAGGATTTACAAACCTTCGACGGGAAATTCTGTTGTTGAAATTCGAAGTATTTCAGTAGTACCTGCAATTTGATTTGGTGGAATAATAACACCACTGCTGTGTGAATCAATTAATTAACATTATTACAAGTTTCAATTTTGCATTCTTGGTATGTGACGGACATGTTAACTATGTCATGTTAAATTTAACACATATTCCTTGTGATGATAAAACACGGAGACGTGGTCAATGAATACGCATTCTGAGAATTACGACCAGGCTGTAGACCTTCTCATTTTGTTGAGAAAATCTTACTATATGCTTAACAGTTCTGGCAGCTACGGAATGCGAAATCTCAAGCCAAGCACGTCCCAAAATACCCACACCCACAAGAAGTCTATAATATTCTTGTTCAAATAAAGGTATGTCGATAACAAACTTAACCAATATCAAGGAAAATCAATGATGCGGTTATTATTCATTGAAGCTTCAATTTACGCCGCCAAACACTTGATTTTTGCCGACATGACAATGATATTTACCGACAAAATCAAGTTATTTGGTGGATGGTTATTTGGTGGATGTCAAATGGCTTTTTGGAGGGCTAACAATGGAGTAAAAAAAGGCCATTCTGCTAGTTGTAAACACATGCTGAATTGTAGGGCCTAAAAATAATGTAAAGGTGAATGTTTTAAAGTGTGAATGTCTGCAGCCTCAAAATTGGCACACATGGCCAAAACACATAATGGTTCGTTACAAATGGCCACGGCCCTGCTATGGATTTAAATGTATATTTTTGTTTTTAAAATGAAATTTAATTTATAATTGAGGCAAATTGCCGTTTTTGGAGTTTGGCTATTAGTTCTTGCCTTGACTCTTCATGTTTTCCTTCAAATATCCGAGCTATTCGCATTAAAACTAACTTCTCAATTACCTTTGAAAAAGTGAATACCTAGTGGACTGGAAAAAACTTCAGGCCCATGGTAAGTTACAGGTGCACCTTGCGAAATGTCGACACGGCCTAGGTTTCGAAAAGCCAGATCGGTCCAGTAGACGTATTCATTGTGGAGACCAAGGCTTCGTACATTGAAATTGGAGCTGAAGGCGGCAACTGTAGTGCGACCCGCACCCGTGAGGTCAGAGAATTCAATGACATCATAATAGGTATTAGCCCAGTAGAGTCTGTTTGCTGTAAAATAATGACATATGGAATAGTTGACTCATGGAATTTTGTTTTTAATGACAATGATAAAGGATTACTATTTTTATACAGATGTAGGAAGGCTTCTATATCGTGAAAAAAAGAGTTTTTTTGAAGATCGTGAAAATGTTCATCATTATTCTTTCTCTTTCTGGATCTCCCTTACAATGTGTCACATCCATTTGTAGTTACGGTCGCTCCGAGAGCTCGCTTATCCTGGTATGATCAAGTCGAAACTGTTGTTATCCCATGCATCCAATCGTAGGCTAGACCTTTTTAAACCTATCCCTATCAATTGTTCAGTTCCTGCGAAGATTTGCCTCGATAGGACTTTGGTTCTACGCATGTTGGAGTATGGAATGCCTGTTTGGCTCCTACACAGTCGAAACGTGTTGATGCACTACAAACTGTTTGTTTTATTTTTGGACAGAAGGATTATGCCAAATGCTGATAGGCTTCAAACGTAATGCCAACCTAATTTGTGTGGTTTAATGTTATCAAAGAAATTTTGTGGTGTCCACTGTAAAAAAAAAATGTGCAAATAAATGCCCAATTTTTACCCAACAAAGGGCGAATAGTTAACAAGTCCAACATTTGGGCAAAATATTGCCCATTTTTATTGGGCACACAAAACACCCAACATTTGGGCAAATGCACATCTTCTAATAGTTGATTAAGTTGGATTACCAAACAACTTGTAAAATTTTCACCCATTTGTTGGGTATTTGATATGTCAGTTGATGCTTAAAAAATAACCCGAACTTTGGGTGATTAGTTTAATCAAGAAATGGTAACAAATATACCCAATTTTGGACCAACTACTGGGCATGTGTCCAAAAAATACTGCCCAACCCCATTGGGCATAGTTTGCTAAATACTTGAGCAAATGTTGTGCCAATTATTGAGCAAATGGTTTCCCCATTATTGGGCAAATTATATCCATTTGTTAAAACCTAAACAAAATTAAATACTTGATCTCATAACCTTGATCACGTGTTTTATTGTGTCGCTGAATCCGAATCACATTTTCAAATAAATAGTAAAACCTTTAAGGACAAATAAACAAAAACATGTTTGGCGTCCCAGCCCTCTTCCTTTTTGGAGGCCTTGTTTTCTTTTCTTTTTTAACCGAAAATATGATAAATTTTAAACAGTGACATAATCATGAATCCTGTGCTCCACTGCTAGACCACTCGTGCCCATATAAAGCTTGTAAGTCATTTCCTAGGTCCAATGACGGCCATTAACAAAAACATACTGGCGGCCATCTTGAAAAATAGCCCGGCCGGGCGGCCATTTTGGAAGGGGAAAAAAGGGCCTACCGCTTCCTTTTTTTTCAAAAAAGCAGGACGCTAAACATGTTTGTTTTATGTGGCCTATTTAAATACTTGTTTTCAACCATACTTGTATACATTGACGTCAACCATATCCTGCATCAAATTAGATCAAAAACCCAATATATAACTCACAGCGGGTTATGTTTTGTAATTACGAGTAAAATAGTACTGCTACTACATGTACATTGTCGGCCCATTTTACGGGTCGCCCATATTGATACATGTGCAGAGTCATACACCTATGTGCATTTAATACCGACACTACAGTGAACCATGCAAATGCCTTTATCCGTAATACAAACCATACAATAATTGACACAATATCGAAATAATTTCCAACACAATGGAATCTAATTTGAATCAAACAATCAACACGTAACTGCAAACAGTCTTGTTTAAGTGAAGGCTTTGCTAAGACTCTTCTGACCTACGATCTGCCATGACGACTCTCCCTATGCGCGGTGCATGTAGCAGATCACATGGTAGATGTTGCCACTTATTAGGTGAATTTCGCGCGCTTTCTCTGTTTTTGACCGACTTTTAAGACTTGGGATTAGCGGACCTGCCCAATAACAGGGCAACGTCAATATATTGTCCCCAACGTACGGTTAACTATGGGGTGCTGTGGTCCGATGGTTACGGTGTTCGACTCGTGTACCGTGGTACATGGGTTCGAATCCTGACCGTGGGAACATAGTGCTTGTGCTCCTGAGCAAGGCACTTTACCATTATTGCTTCGTCCTTCGGATGGGACGTAAAGCCATAGGTCCCGTGTGTTGTGTAATGCACGCTAAAGAACCCAGTAACTCTTATCGCTAGGAGAAGGGGATTCTGGCAGTGGCTGCTTAATGCGCCGCAACACCTTGTAAACCATTATTAAAGTGCTACATAATGGTTCTCATTTTTTTATGTTCTTCATTTACCTGTCTCTAATAATAGACATGATTTCCAGCGCCTTGAGTACCTAATTGTTGGTAGGTACGAGCGCTATAAGACTTCGGTATTATTATTATTAACTATTTGTGTTACCCACTTCTTTCGTAAATTATGCTCAACTTTGAAGACTCTTAAAGTATCCAACTTTTGTATTTACCCAACAACGTCGATTAGCCAATAAATGGGGATTTTTTAACTCACAGTTGCGTGGTTTATATTTACCCAACGAATCACTTCCCCAATATTTTTACAGTGATTTAGTCAAACATGTGGTCAATAAGATATCTTGGGGCTTTTAAACATCTATATGCCGGAATGCAGAATCTGCAACTTTTAGCAATTCAACAAATTCTGATTTACCGGTTACAGCGTCCCTCATACCTTGATGTTGGTGCCCCTGCGCACAGGTTTTTGTTGTTGATGAAGGATGGTGTTTTCTTTTCTAATGAATAGTTCAGATTTATGTATTTCAACTTTTTTTTCATAATGGTAGTCCGAATCAATCCCTAGGTTTGCATAGGTCTCGTTTGTAAAGATTTCTGGTATGGTTCTGTTGTCTAACCCAATCGGACAGTGAAGATTGTATGGTTGAAATGTCATGTTTACAATGGGTGAAGTTTAAGAGGGGCCATCAGATGAGTTGGGGGCTGTACAAACAAAATTGTTTGTCTTCATCTGGTTAAATGTCATTTCGAAGGATACGAATTGAAAAGAATTAACTAACCTGGAACGTCGAGGGTTAAACCATAAACAGAAAGGATGCCACTATTAATCAGCACTCGACGATGGTTGCCATTCAGATCAGATCGCTCGATCATGCCCATTGAACTAACTCGGTACGACCAGAACAAAAACCTATAAAAAAACAAATCTTGTTGAATGTCTTCCCGATACATAGCTAAGCTGCTAACCACAAAAAACGGCACTTATTCAATTATAAATCTTTAAATATTTATGCATCCTTTTGTATTCCTTTGGTTTCATTTACGACTGACCTTACCCGTGATGGGCTCCCCACACATGAACAAAAAGTTTTGTGTTACTTTTTATTTACAACGTCTGGAACCCCCACTCGCATAAAAAAGAGAGAAAATGAAGACCAAATTAAGGTAACCAGACTCTGTGCTATTTGAAAAGATATGGATGATAAGACCCTGTTTTTTTACGCGAAATGCGGCGTATACAGGGTGAGTCAATGAAACCCAATTGGTGCCCCCTGTTGTTGTTTAAAGAAGCTCTTATTGTAGCACTTTCCATATTTAGGATATCAAAGCCCGATTAATAGGCTTTGTTGTAGTGTAAGTGATGTCTCAGCAAAACTATTCACATATAAAAAAAACAAAAAAAAAAAAAAAAACCCTCAACACTCTCATATGATAACTGGCACTTAATAAATAACAATTATTTAACAACCAACTGCTTCCAATAAAACCAAAATGCTTTAAAATGTCAAGAGTTTACAGTCTTGCCCTGCCTTCTACTTGGCTTCCCTGGAGACTTGTGAGATTATTCTGATATCATTTTCAGGATACTACGTGGTTTCATTTTTTTACTGAATTATCCTGTACCTTGACTGGATTCATGGACACGGTTTAAAAGCAGTGCTTGTGTTTATTATCATGGATCTACAGTGTATTTTACCTTATGTAATTGCTTCCAATAAAGCCTAATGCAAAGTATCCCAGTGTGCGGTAAGTTTTTGCAGAGTTTTCTGCCCCGCGAGGCCGTTTGGCCAATTTCTGTCCTGTTTTATTTATTTCGCCTCGCGAGGAGAAAAACTCACTGTGTGCGGCGAGCCTGAACTAAGTGCCGAGCTAAAATGATAAACGAGCCAATGAAATCACGCACTCTGTACATGTGATTGTAATATATGTTGGTGTTTGTCCCCCTTTTGAGTTACGCAAAAGACAAACAAGAATAGCGTGCTTTCTTTGGCGAAGCGAAAGAAATATTTTATTCCGTTGTATGCTATAATAAGGCGACAGATTTTGCTAACTGCGTCCACAATTGGGCGATTCACCTTATTAAGGTGACATTATAACTGTCGCCCTTTTGTGAAATCGACCCTTAGAACAGGGAATTTTATAATCGCAAACTATATCTAGATAAATTCCTCGTCGTCCTATTGGTAAAAATACCGAATTTCGTAGAGAAAGGGTAAGGTAGACTTGGGTTAGGTGACAGTGTAGGTTTGTGCACGAGTCAATAGGAAAGTCGCCTCATTATAGTATTTAGAGTAATTATTATATTTCTGGGTTGAGGTATACAGTACTAAGCGAGGGTTATTATAATTTCCTTGTCCAGTGACCCGTGTTGTGTATTATTGGGATAACTTAAGTTGCGTGAGGATTAATACTTTGTGAAGATTGTCCCTGTTAGATGGTGCAGTTGTTATTGTAAAGGCCAAATTAAAAAAAATGTTGAGCGTCCCCGAACCCATATAAGTTTTTTTTTTTATAAACCGAAAAAAGGATACATTTTATATAGTGACATCAAATATTTGCCTCTTTGTTTGTTGCATCTGGCCCATTTAAAGCTGGTGTGTTATTTCCTGAGTCCAAGTGGCGGCCACTTAAACAAAAGCTGGAGGCCATTTTGAAAAATACCCCGGTCAGGGGGCCATTTTGGAAGGAAACAAAAACCTCCTCCTTCCTTTTTTTTTTTGGGGGGGGGGGGGTCCGCTCATAAGTCCGACGCCTCATAGGTCCGACGACTCATAGGTCCGGCAGAATTGCATCCCCTAACCAAATAAAGGCCGATATGTCCGACGCCTCAAAGGTCCGACGCTTCATAAGTCCGACGCCTCATAGCTCCGACGCCTCATAGCCCCGACGCTTCGTAAGTCCGACAAATTAAACGCCTCATTTTTCCGTTGTCGGACTTTTGAGGCGTCGGACTTATGAGGCGTCGGACCTATGAGGCGGAATAAATAAATTGTATGCCTCATAAGTCCGACGCCTCATAAGTCCGAAATTTCGGACTTATGAGGCGTCGGACCTATGAGGCGTTGGACTTATGAACGACCCCTTTTAAAATTAAACGGCCCCTAATTAAATTGTGTTCCTCATAAGTGGTGCAGTTGACCCCCAGAGGGTTATTAAATGCGAGGGTTATTTGTGTGTAATTAATCACCTTTGTATATTATTGTTAAAGCTGTGATTATTGAACAAACCAAATTGATAAAAGTGATTCTTGAATAAATCTTATTATGAGAGTTATTTACGTTTCCGCGAGGTTTATTGAAATTCACTCTGCGGTTTATTAGTATTAATTATATTACTGTTATTCTATTTCAAGTAATCACTGAATCCCAGAGCGGTGGTATATGTTCAACAAACGAACAGCCCTTAGGCTTAGTCCGCCGTTCATTAATTATCCCCCTTGCGTCTGGGTAACCGCTCATCCTTGTTTGAGGTTAATAAATATTTTGTTCGTGGGATATTTTGTTTGCCAGTCTGTGTCTTGGGATGAATAAAACCAGTCCCTTTGAGTTTTCCTTTCCCCTTTCCCCTGTCCCACGTCGCCACAATATCACGACCTGTATTTAATATATTGGTGAATAAAAAGCAACGAACACAAAAAGACTGAAACGTGCTTATGTGGAACAATGACCTTCACAAATAATTAAAGCACACCCTTTGTAACAAATGAAAACGAATGTTCTTGAATGGTAAGCTGAATACCTGACCCTATACGTTCAATCACCATGGGGCATGACTTTACCATTTTTACAATAAAAAGGCTTTTTTCAACTCCAAAAATGGGCCTTGATTAACAGGTAATATTAGGGACATTTGTGACATAATCACTTGAAGGTGGTTGGTAATGGTTTAAGTTTGAATGTCACGGACCCGTGGGCCGGGTCTGGTTTTAGTTTTCAACAAAAAAAATGCAATTTCGTGGGCCAATTTTAGGGGGGGAAACGGATAAAATCTCTGGAGTGCAGTGTGACATGAGGCCAAAAGCACCCCCGCCCCTCCTCGCACATATTACCCATTGGTAGAGTCCACAACAAGCCCAGGGAGAGACACGGTAGAAATCGTATTTGTCAAATCCAGGACAACGGAGCGGTTTTGTCCATCCAAGGTAGCTCGCTCAATCAGATCTGCAGATCCGTCATTCATCCAATACAACACACGATTCTCAACATCAAGGTGGAAGACCGTAACTGAAACTGAAAAGCGAAAACAATTGAATTTATTCCATAGTGTCCGGTTTTATGACGTCACAACATCGATATATCAAGATGGTACATTATTTGCAGAGGGATTTTTTTTTTGAATAAGGGATATGAATTAAAATATGTTTGTGCTGGCGGGTTCACGAACGTGTCTTCGTTCAATTCTTAATAACTTATACTATTTACAAAGTCAGTCGCATCGGGGGCCGAACGATAGTCGGAAGGTCCGATAGTCCAAAGGTTCTTTACTCCGAAGGTTAAATAGTCCCAATGCACACAATTTCCATAAAAGAGGGTTTGTTAATCCGGAAATGAAATGAGGTTCATTGATCCGAACATTTGATGCAATAGTCCGAAGGTTCATTAGTCCGAAGGTTCATTAGTCCGAAGGTTCATTAGTCCGAAGGTTCGAAAGTCTGAATTTAGAATAAGGTTAATCAGTCCGAAGGTTCAATAGTCCGAAACGAAAATAAGGTTCAATAGTCCGAAGGTTTATTATTCCAAATTGACAATAAGGTTCGATAATCCGAAGAGACTATAAGGTCCGATAGGTCTATTCGGACTATCGAACCTTCGGATACATTAACCTCATTATATTTTCGGGACTAATGGGCCCTTCGGACTATCGAACCTTCGCATTATCGAACCTTCGCATTATCGAACCTTCGGACTATTGAACCTTCGGACTAACATCGGACTAATGACGCTTTGGACTAATGAACCCCCGGACTATCGACTATCGACTATCGGGCTGTAACCGTCGCATCACGAACCGATGTATCGTGTACACACAGTACATTTAGGATAAGTCACTTCGAGGTGCATCTGAGGAGTAAATATCCAATTGTATTAATTTCATTTAGTTGAGAACAAAACAGATGATAATTTTTTTTTATTCTGCCGTTTGTTCGGATGACGGCATCCTTGTGATTGAGTATATTTGTAATCAGTCATCGTCTAGACCTCGATATCAGCTTTCAACAAGTTGGATAGATCAAAATTTCTAAACTTTGACCAGCTGTTAATCCTATCGACTAATATGTCATCATATCTGAGATAATATACTTGTTTTCAAATTAGGTCTTTACATCATGTGGTTAAGGTCTTTACTACATGAATTGTTACAAAGCTACATAACCGGACATATGTTACAAAAACGCATTGTTGAAGTGGAAAATCCTTCACGGTTAATAGTTAATCCAATTCCAGGCAGCATTATTGGACTTTCCTACTTTGTTTTTGATTGGGTGAAATTATCGGTTGTTCAAAAATCGTGATCTTACCGCCGTCTGAAACCACAACTTCAACACCACTTCCGTTCAAAAAGGCACGACTGATAGAAACAAAATCAGCCCAGTACACCATACCGTCTTCAGGGTCGTAGTCAACGTCATAGGTTCTTTGTGGTTTCGCCTCAAGCTCAGGGATATGGATGAGGGTAAAATTGAAGGTGTCCGTGGGTGCAACATAAATCCTCGGAGGGTCGTGATTGGCCACCAATACCATGTCTAAAAGAAATCATATGATAACAAGATGAACACAAAGGTTTAATATTTCATATTGTTTCCAGTTTTAATCGCCCACTGATGGCTGGAAAAAAGTTGACATCTATATATTTATTCATTTATTTATTTAAACTTGTATAGACACGGTAACTCATTCAACCAAAATGTTTTTTTCTTGTTGCATAAAAACATGTAAACTGGACAATACACAAAATAGAATCAGTAATTCAAAACATATATAAAACAAAATGAGACATTAACCACCCGTGCTTCCTATCACCAGAATATACACGAACATACGAAGACATTGCAGCGGAAGTCGTTTTGTATTACGCGTAAATAACAGTGTTTAGGGGACACAACCCATTCCCTTTTGCTCTGAATAGATGAATAGAAGTTCCCTGGACACGCATATCGAAGATTGAAGCATTCTGGCAATTTTCAAATTGGTTAACCATTGATTTGCCAAAAGTGATACAAGTCGAAAACCACCCCCCCCCCCTCCAACTGCTATCACCAAACACTCAGCATGAGTCAGTTGACTGTGTATTTGGCTATTTTGGGGTCAGGATCGACTGTTAACAGCCGTTGTTTACATTCAGCTACTGGGACAGCCCCAATACATAGTATTCATAACATGACGTCACGATTATCCGGATTAGCAGCCGCCGCCATTTTGTGTGTCAAATTTCGCATTGGCCTATACACAACACAACAGTGGCATTTACTAGCAGCAGATATCGTACTTAAACAGCAGATATCGTACTTAAAAATACTCATCTTGGAGAAAAAATGCCACACACTTGTGTCGTTCATGGGTGCAGAAACAGATCTGATCCCTCAGTGAAGAGGGGGTTCTTTGCGTTCCCGACAATTAAACAGTGAATTAAACATGTTGCAGGACCCAAAATTCGCTCTTTCATGAATAGATTTTTGAGTGACGTCCTTCAAGAAGTTCAGAATCTAGTTTCTAGACTCCACTACTGTGAATTCATTTAGTTTGATGAGGAATTAAGAGAATTGGAAATATTTCTCAGTCCAAATTTAATAACGCCTCTACAGCTTTTTAGATAAGCCTGTAAGAGGGAAAATGTAGAGGGTGGGAAACAAAATTATTTCCACTAAAAATACAAGCACCATATGTGCTTGTACAACACGCTTTTCACTATGCCACATTCATTCGTTTCAAACAGAAAATGTGTCTTCTGTGGCTATGTTGCAGATAATACTGTACATGGTGTACATGTAGGTTCACATACATGTGCTCATATACATGATCATGAGAATGCTCCATGACTTTTTAGCTTAAAAGTAAGAAGTGAGATGAATTTTTGGCTTAATATACAACTTCAAAAACCAAAGCAAAATTCTTGTAAATTTGCATTTTAAGCACAACAGACAGTGGTCACAAAAGTTGTACTTAATACCATAAAGCTATAAAGCTCTTCAGAAAACCTCCCTGATTGAAATCTTAAGGTTATACTCGTTTCTTTCATATTTACTGAGGTTCGTATAGACACTTCAATCAGGTTCTCTATGGGCCCTCAATGAAAATCACATTTACATATTTGAAAAAGCACGAGTGTTTCTAATGAATATATCTGGTGGTGAATATTTACAATTTTTGTTTTCTAGGAAAACCTGCAGGTTTGTACCAGAAGAACCTTCCAGACTGAGCTCCCCCATTGAAGCTCTATGCAGAATCTCAGATCAAGACAACCTCTTCTATGCATAATGACTTAGAGCGATATCAACGAGTCTGCAAGCGACAGGCAAAACGAGATCAACATGCTAGGGCAGAGGCACTGTTTGAATTATCGCATAAAGCAACAGATGTTACCCCCTGCAGATCCCCAGAAGTTGTTTCACCATGTGTTTCTGCACCTATTAGTTCAAGTGTATGTCAGCCAGTGCCCCATGATGAAGTGACTGATGAACAACTAAGTGTGTCATGTGAGGACCTGTACCAGCAAACAGTTGCTGAATGCCAGAGGCTGACTACTGAAAATATGGAACTGAAGGAGAAGCTGATGGAAACCAATGTTTCTGAGGATTCTTTCAAACATGATAACAAGAAATTGATTTACTACACTGGACTACCGGTTTTTTTTTTAACTCTCATGGCTCTGTTTGATTTTGTTAAACCATATATTTCTGATAGCAAGAGAAATGCTTTGACTTAGCTTCAAAAACTTATCCTTGTTTTGATGAAACTACGACTCAATTTACCCATGCAGGATCTCGCTTACATATTTCATATATTCCAAGCCACTGCATCCAGGGTTTTTCTTTCTGTCTTTCATGTACTTTACATGCGGCTTAAAGTACTTATTGTTTGGCCAGAGAAAGAACAGCTAAAGGAAACAATGCCAATGACATTCAGGCAACATTTTGCTGAGAAAGTGGCAGTCATTGTAGATCGTTTTGATGACTTCCCAGCCAGCCAGCCAGCACTAAATACTCATTCATAAATACCTAGGACACTTAACCAATTCCTACTGGTCGAAAGCTCGTCACGTGGCAGGTCTTAAACGGAGGATAAAGACATGGCTAGCTTGTCTTAAACATTTTTCCAGTGTCACATGAAATGTTGACTCATAAACATTCAGTGCTTCCTACCGTTTTTTGGGTTGAACATTCACAATCCTCACAAATGCTTGCGCAATACTACCCGCGAGTCAGTATTTTATAGTCCTAAATTCACAGCAAAACGCCCCAAGTGCTTTCCTCTGCGCGACGTCACGCATTACGCGCGGCGCGCGCGCCAATCTCCATGAATAGGAGTTGTTTACATCTGATCCGCGAGTGAGACACGCTATTTTTAGCTAGAGGGGTGTTTCAAAAAACATGAAGTGAACTTTTTGAACAAAAACGGTTTTTTTAGTGAAAAGTTTTGATTTGTTTAACCGAAAAAGTATTTATGAATGGGAATAAAATTTAATAATGTGCTTAGTCGGTATTAATCACTCTGTTTAAGACCGCTTGGAGTCTTGGTGCTGATAATTACTTATTATTATCAGCACCAAGACTCCAAGCGGTCTTAAACAGAGTGATTAAAACCTCCGAAGCACACTTTATTTCCTGATTGAAACTCTAACAGATATGTTATTACATTATGTTTTTACACTTTTTGTTTTACACATTTCTTTTCAGCTCTAAATTGGGATTTCATGTAAATTTCAAGGATAACAGACCGGAGGTTGTAGGAACAACAACACGGTGGTGGGCTCTTGATTTTCGCAAACTTCGCCACACACATCAACTACAAATGCATTTTTGACTTTGTCAACATGCCGCTAGAGGAAGACCTAACATTTTAAGACGAAACCTGTATTGTTTTTTTTGTAAATTACAGCCTAGGCAGAGACTCACATTGTTGAAAGCAATTTCACATCTGCTGCCAATTTCAAATTAAAACCACTGCCGGTTTAATATTTGGCTTTTTAAAACATGTCGATAGAGGACGCTCTCAAATTTTATGACGCCACTTGTAGTATTTTTGGCAAAGTACAGCCTAGGCAACGACGCACGTCGTCGAAAGCAAGTTCACATCTTTTGCAAACAACCACAAGGTGTTGGGCTCAACATGCCGTTCGAGGGCGTTCAAGGGTTATGTCACCTGTACAGCCTAGGCAAAGACACATATCGGTGAAAGCAAGTTCACATTTGATTTTGCACCAAAAATAGGACCTTGCAATATTGTATCAATTGCCATAAAAAAATCAAATCTCTAACATTTGAGTTTATGTTGTTTTTCAAATATTAGATATTTGGTTGCTTGAAATACGGTAAATGATGACGTCATCGTGACGTCATTACCAGAAAGCTCGAGGGCTATGTTAACTATGCTATTTCAAGCAAAAATTTGGATTTTACCTCTTGCTGTTGATTTTTCAGCATTTTTTTTAAGGTTTTATGTTTTTTTCATTATAACTTCCTGTCTGATGACGTAATCATTTTTTTTTTGCGCCTGCATCCGATTTCACGAAGCGCTGCGACGCGTCGCAACTCGAGTTACGACGTGTAACACTTCGCAACTCGCGACGCGTTGTATCTTCCATTTCACGAAAGTTGCGATGTGTTGAACGCGTCGTAAGTTCCTTGACAACGGCTTAAAACACGTCGCAATTTAAGACGTGTCTATTGGTCGTCGCAAAATAAGAAGAGTCATTTCTAAGCCAGTTTTATGCCATAAACATTACATTAACGAGATTATAATACCGAGGCAATGTGTGTAAAGTTGTAAATAGAAAATTCATTGCATAATTATGAATTAGACCGGAATATTAGGGTTGAAATTTCAAAGTAGCTATACAGTCCACTGACAGCTTGTTTTCCTTCAAAATTGCATCGCACGGCCGCCATTTTGTTTTACGTTTTAACAAATTTCGAACTGAGATCCGACGACTCTTTGTTGAAAATCAGATGACTATTTACTGTACGCTGACTAAATACATAAAACAGTCATCGAGTTGTGCTATAAATACACCTACGACGCGTCGCACTTACGACGTGTTTCGTGAAATGGATCGCAGGACGCGTCGCAGCTGCGACGCATCGTAGAGATACGACGCGTCGCATCGCTGCGATGCATCGTAAGTTACGAAGAGTTTGATGAAATCGGGTGCTGGTCTTGTCTGCATTAAAGTCATCGTGTAATAGTACTTTAAAGGGAATATACATCATTTGCTTTTGCTGTAATTTTCAGAAATGGATGGAATTGGGGGGTTGGAAATATAAAGCAAATATAGTTACACTGACTTTTTTGAGGTTTTGGGTTCGAAAATGCTATAAAAACCAAGAAAAACAATCATTTTCCTGTAGTCTGGTTCCCTGACTCCATATAAGAAGAAACAGAGCAGTTTACATACATTGGGGAATTGTAAGGTCAGGGAACCAGTCTAGCTGGCTTGTACCCGTTCAAAGGTGTGTAATCGATTGCAAACAAGTGCGATGGTCAATTGGGGCCAGTATTTGAAAAAAAGCCAGTTTTTTTCCAACGCTGGTCGGCCGACCAGCGTTGGAAATTGATACAAAAATACCTCTTTTCTTGAAAATGACAGTTTACCAGGTGCCATGATTTTACAGGATGCTTTTCACTGTCATCACTAACAGTCCAGCAAGGTTTTTCAGAATGATTTGGTAGTTTTATTTTTTGATGTTTGCAAATGTTGTATTTTCCCTTTAAAGCGATTACCGCAAACTTCGCCACACACATCTACTGTAAATGCGTTTTGGGCTTTTGTAACTTGCCGCTAGAGGGCGCTCAAACATCTTATGAAGTCAACAATATTTTTGTGTGTAAAGTTCCACCTAGGCACAAACTAACACCGTCGAAAGCAAGTTCACATCTTCATCTACTTTCAAAATATCAGGCACTTCCGGTTTCGACCAGAAGGAAGGGTCACGTGATTTGACGCCAAAGAGATAAAATGAAGATCATGTATTAAAGCGCGGGTGATAATTGGGATGAAAATCTAAATTTTGGAATATCGCGCCTACTTCAGAGGTGATGCATTGGGTCATTTTGGGGATATTTTGTATAGGAAGTGGGTATCTAGCATGAAAAAAAAACCCACCCCACCCAAAAAACTAAATCTGCACTGCACGCACTGTGGACAGTGGGTGTAATTGCGAAATGAATGCCTTTTTTTTTCCATTTTAATCCATTTGGCATAGTTTATATTGAACACACCACTGAAGTCATTAAGACTTTCATAGATGAGCACATAACTGACAATTTAATATATTAAGAACATTATTAATGCACTAATGTCACTAAATATCACAGACAGTCGGGCCGTAGAAATACATGTTCCTAAAGTAAAGCTATTCATTGAGGGATTGCCACTGGTCAATCATAAACCTCTACCGGTAGGTATTTTTTAGACTACAGGGATGTACATCTTCAAGACTTCATACATTTTCATAACAGGGACAGAAATTTATCACAAATTTGTGTCCTTGTTGTGAACATGTATCAAGTCGCATTTCAATTTCATAAATAAAATAGGTTGCTTTAGTGTTGAATGATACCAATTCTACATTGAATAAGTAATATAAATGGACCAAGAGCTGGATTAATCATAAGAATGAAAGTAGTATGATTCAAGAATGTCCATCCATGTCCGTCTTTTCATCTTAAAGATGGCATAGTAATTTCATGCATATCCATTGAATTAGCTGACTTATTTATCAATGCAATCACGAATAATACAGGAATGTTAATACAAAAATTAAAAAAAAGCAAAAGACCTGCTTTGAAATCCACCTCCCATGTCTCACCAAGGGGGTCAATCGCTTCTCAAAAGTAGGGGGAACATACCTTGATCGAAATGCGATCGCAAAGCGCGAAGCCCTAACGGTGTGGGGTCCGGGAAACTTTTTGAATTCTAGACGATCTGTGGTGCTATCTGAGGCAATTTTTGACAATTAAAACACATTTGTGTGAGCAAAAGATCATATTTTAAACAATATTTGTTCAAGTTTGAAGTCATTGAATCAGCTTTTCTGAGCTTAATTTGGCTACAATTTTCATCCGGGGACGAAAAAAATAGGGGGGGGGGTACAAATGATATGATTGTTAGGAGGGGATCTCCCCCCCCCCCCCAGTGCGCATAATTTTCGGTTAGAACAGCACCCCCATCGGCAGATGGTACCAGCCCCCCTCCCCCCCCTCAATTTGATTTTACTGAGGGCAAGTGAACTGTGGAAAAAAATGTGTCTGTATATATACATTTCAGCCTGGATGTGCAAGTGCCCTTTTCAAGACATTGTTATCCCCCCCCCCCCAATATACATGTAAATTTATGCCCTTGCTATGCTCCTGTTGCCTATTTCAGGCTGTTGTGCCTGAATGTTTCCAATTTGAAATAATAAGTCTTTATTCAGCATTACTACAACATGACTAGGCAGGGTATGAACAGCAGAATACTCGAATAGCCAGAAAAAAGGCCATTTTGGGGTTAATTTTGAATTTGAAGGGGTGGGGGTTATTTAAGAGATACAGCATTAGTTTTGGTGTCAAAAGTCTTGTATTGACGGTGTTAACCATTTTCCAGATGGGCGTCTTCACATTTTGACATTGGACTTTACCACCCCCTCTATCATGTATTATTATATCAATTCCTGTAAAATTCAAGGTTCGGTCTCTCACGGGTGATTTCTTATTGATTTTCAAAGACTAAAATTATTAATCTATCAAGTGACGTCACGTGATCCATGATGACGTCATAATGACGTTATTACAAAAAAGCACATCTTCAGTAGGTTGGGCATTTATGTATTGACAATTGAAGTTCATATATGTTTCATTTTGACAAAAAGTTCTGGAAACGAATTTGTCCTGGAGAATAATAATAATAGTAAATTCATAGAATAACAATAGGTGTTGGACTAAGTCTTATGCTTGGAATCGTTTTCAGGTAAATTCCATCAGGTTGAGCCGTTATATCTTTACAGGAGTCAATAGGTGTTTTTTCTTTCTTTTTTTTCTACTGCAAAACCTTATCTTGTTGGCCGTTTATGCGCAGTCAAGAAGTTGTCATACCAAATTCGCATCAACATCGATCGGAACAGTTTACATTATTGCTGCTATGGATCAATAATAATTACATTGAACTTACTATTGTCGGGCCTGAGAGCAACATCGTCTATAGCAATATTGGAAGAAGAATCCGTTCCGCGTACTGCTTCAATTACGATTCTGAATTCGGGAGGTGTTACTGGGAGCATTATCTCTGCCTGAAGCCACGTTGTGCTGTCTGTCTGTTGCCCGTTCATATTGAAGATACGCAGACCCTCACTGATACTCCCATTTATAGGTGTTTGATACACATTAAGGCTACCTGAAAGGTCAAATGAACATGTTCACATAAACAGCCACATGTTCGAGAATACGGGACTTCCAGAAACAGCCTCAAATAAAATGCAATACTGTGAAACAGTCTCATTAAAGACAATTTTATTTTGGTTTACAGCTCTAGCGCTGTCGTCATCAAAGTCTGAGTAAAACATTGTGTATTTTTTTTCGAGAATTTAATGACCGTGACTCTCAGCTACGTGAGCCCAATAGAGTAGATCAGCCCCTTTTGTGGTGCTTTGGAAAGGGGTCCTTAAAGGAAGGCTGTGGTAGAAATGATTTGAAGCTTTTGACAGAAAGTCAGTTTGGAAAAAGAAGATACACAAACACAAGAGCAATAAATGCTTCTGGTCGGTGTATAGCTTATTTAAATTTAAAAAAATGTTTCTTTTGTAAAAGTAAACATATCCCTTACCGATGCCGCTGCCAAACATGTTGTACCAGAAAGTCAGCATCCAGCAGATATATGCCCTTTGAGACATGACAGGACTCGTCAATATAGCTTTTGCTCCCTCTGATATGTCGGTTCCATTTGCATACAGGTACGTCATATTAGAAGCTGCGCAATAGAAGTGTTAAAATCGAGAAAAAAATTGTGTATTTGCAAAACCCTTTTTTTACAAAGAATTATTACTGCACATTTTACAAACGATTGAAGACATTTGACCTCAAAGAAGCCAACTATCGCACATGGTAGAATTGAGGTACCACAGTTTTGAAAATAGATCTTGACACGAAGTAATATGTCCCCTCGTTCATATCCTCTCGTGTTCAAAAGATGATCTAGGCCAAACGGAAAAAAACGTCTTACTTCCAAATCTGTCAACAGAAGGTCCGGTGTCGCTCAGGTCGCTGCTTCCAACTCCAATCAACCACTCCCAGACAGTGTGTGCTGCCTGCTGCCACCCACACATTCCTGTGTTGAAGTCGCAGCTGAATGATGCATTCATTCCTGATTTCAGAGTATATAGCTGACATTTTAGATCCATAGAATGTGGCAAAACCATTTTCTCTTCTAATATAACAAAAAAGGATTAATACTTTTTCCTCCTTCGTTCAATACTGTAAATGATTTAAATAATTGTGAGGCTCCAACTAATTATTTCACAACTACAAATAATGTGTGACACAAAGATAACTGAGGAGTGCACATCATACATTTTTATCCACATTGTGTAGTTTGTTTTTGACATTTCCGTAATTTTCTTCAGATTTTTGGCTTCTCCGCGATTTGCATAAGCAAATGTATCTGTTCTGCTATTTGGTAAATTTGCAAAACAGCCTTTTGTGTTGTTCCCATTTCTTTTGTTTGTTCTTTCTTCTTCTCCTTTTTTTGTTCTATCATTCAGCACCTTCAAAAGGCAGAACTGTTGACCTGTTCAGCAGTGTGTTCAGGACTCGCAATGCAGTCTTGGTGTTGGTAAAATCATTTGACTGTTGTATGATTTACACTTTTGAATGTGAATGAGCTAGCAGACGAAATGCACTTGATGGAGATACTGATGACAATCTGCAAACGTTAAAGATCTCCTCCACCTCTTCTGACATCTCCTTCGACTGCGTCTCGCAGTGGATCTCATCAGTATGCCATTGTGGATTGCAACGAGGGCGACGAGTCCAAGTAGATGCTGGACAATGTGCATCAAGGACAGACCGCGAAGCCATGTTGTAGTAGGCCTGATCATCGACGCAACTATCAATGGAAATGCACTTGAATGGACTCTCTATCCAGGGTGCGATAACTTCGAGAGCATGTTGTGATAAACTTCGGATCAGGGTTGGCTTTGTTAACAGCAATACAGTTTATTGTAATCTAGGCAGTCGGTAACCAAGGCACTCTCAGGTTTAGAGATGACAAGGTCTAGTATTTGACCATGTCCAGGTGTTGGTCTCTGAATATGCTGACAGAGAGTCCAGCCTCGTCTATTAACTACAGGAAACGGGCCACTTCGGTTTTGTCAGGCACGTCAACCTGAATGTTAAAATCCTCAATGAGAATCTGCCCAGATGCGCTAGTGGTGAGCTCATCCAGCAATTCAGCGAATTCGGCAAGCAAGTCAGAGGTTCTGAGAGCATTTTCTTGTTGAAGGGGTCGGAGGGGAGATGACAGTGAAGCAGACTCACTTTGCAAAATTGTGACTCATGCAAGTTCAAAAGTGTTGTGTTGAGTGCGGGTCTCCATCGTGGACAATTTCAAGTGAGTACTAGAAATGACAGCAATACAACCATGTGCGTCGTGCCCCCCCCCCCTCCCCTGCCCCGTGCAATTTTCTGGAAAGTGTAGAAACAAGTAGTTCATTGCATCTTAACCATGTTTCATTTGTGAACATTGTTATCCAAAATGTACTCACTGAGAAGAACATAATTTTTTTTCTCACTGAGTTGGCATTCCATAGATAAACATTCAACTTATCATTGCTGTTTCTGTGGATAGCTATAGTGTTGTTATTTTGAGATTGCGGTGCATTGTGGTCGGGGTGTGTGTTAGTCGCGGTTGTTCTCTGTTACGAGTTGTAATAACACGAATGTTAATCGGCGCTGGTGCAACCACTCTGAATATGCCGACCAGCACGCCGACTCCTCATAACATTTAAATTTTCTTTTGAACTAGCAATTGTCTCACTGGGAAGGTGTTACTTAGCCATGTGAACAGACATCAGCATTTCATTAGCGTATTGTGCATACGTTATAATTGCCATTGTGTTCACAAGCACCCGGCATGGCATCGAGTGCGGTTGTTCTTCCGATGATCCCCCATACAGGGTACATGTAGGTATAGCTGGTGTCCCATTCATTGTTGGCAAGCCTTGTGTCCCAGTTGGATGGATCACTGAACAAGAGCAGCACCGGAACAGTACCAATTGAAAATAGACCAAAGTAAGGCCAGGAATCATGCTGAAATATCTTCAAGAACGATGAATATACGACATCCAACTTTATACAGTAGGTGGACTGCAACTTGTTGACAGCAGCAATATGGGTATACCCAAAATAATGGGGAATTGATTACAAAACTTGTCTGATCAAAGAAAATCTTGTGGCAGCAGCACAACAGCCTTATACTGAGATATGGTATAGGTAAAAATTTAACAGACGTCACTATGACGTCATTACATGTCGTTTGACATCAGATTAAAGGGGCATTTTTTAATCTCCATATCTACATAACTGTATATCAGTTCTGTATTTTGGTTTTTACTTGCTACAATCCTGGCCAAATCTCGCTGGGCCCGCAACCCACCAGCCCCCGGTCAATGTTGTCTGTTATTGCGCGGTGTGTGCTCCATCCGCTGCAGAGAACAACATTGACTGGGGTCGTGGGGGAGTTGGTGACCGTATTCTTATAAAATACAGATTGTGTTCGACGTATAAGCCGTATTAGGATACACAAACAACGCATCATCTTCTTCAATTTGTTGTCTAATCCCTCATTTGAAACAAATTGACAAGGATTGTATGTTGTTTGTGTATCCTATTGAGCCTTTCAAGTTAAACACAAACTGTATTTTGTACAGTTGTTGGCCAAAATGGCATGGTGAACCGTCATGGTGAACCGTTACGATGCACGCAACAATAAAGTCGTGATTTTAAGGGATTGGAACATTTGTATTTTAATTTCCAGTTTTGTATTACTATCAATAATTTTATCTGGACTAAATATGTGTTCTTTCATTTATCCTTCGGCCACCATTTCATATTTTGGAAACGAAACTCAAGAAAACAGCTCCCCAAACGGCATGTCATGCATATTTTGAACAATGACAAAATTTAGACAATCGTGGCCAAATCTCGCTTGGCCCGCAACCCCTTAGTCCCCGGTCAATGTTGTCTCTCAGTGCGCGGTGTGTGCTTCATCCGCTGAAGAGAACAACATTGACTGGGGGTGCGGGGGAGTTGGTGACCGTTGGAGGCTAAGGTTATTTCCAAGTGTCCCAACCATTTTGGCCGGGATTGTCTAAATGTACAATAGCCTTGATATTGGATTGGGATATTGCGCGTAGTACGCGCTCAAAATAATAATACACACGCGCGCGCGCACTGGTTACATGGTCAAAGCCCACATTTCACCATGACGGTGCACCATGCCATTTTGGCCGATATTCTTACAAAATACAGATTGTGTTCGACGTGAAAGCCGTATTAGGATACACAAACAACGTATCACGTTCTTCAATTTGTTTTTAATCCCTCATTTGGACGAAAATCCTTTCAAACCATAGTGTAACCACGGTTCACCGCTGTAAATTATATAAGAAGCAGAGTCACTCAATTCTTTTATAGTTTGGTTTGGATGGATCACCGATGGATTTTTCGGCAAATTAACGGAATATTAAGTGAATATGAACAAATTGACAAGGATTGTATGTTGTTTGTGTATCCTAATGAGCCTTTCAAGTTAAACACAAACTGTATTTTGTACAGTTGTTGGCCAAAATGGCATGGTGAACCGTCATGGAGAACCGTTACGATGCACGCAACTATAAAGTCGTGATTTTAAGGGATTGGAACATTTGTATTTTAATTTCCAGTTTTGTATTACTATCAATAATTTTTATCTGGCCTAAATATGTGTTCTTCCATTTATCCTTCGGCCACCATTTCATATTTTGGAAACAAAACTCAAGAAAACAGCTCCCCAAACGGCATGTCATGCATATTTTGAACAATGAAAAAATTCAGACAATCCTGGCCACATCTTGCTGGGCCCGCAACCCCCTAGCCCCCGGTCAATGTTGTCTCTCATTGCGCGGTGTGTGCTCCATCTGCTGAAGAGAACAACATTGACTGGGGTTGCGGGGGAGTTGGTGACCGTTGGAGGCTAATGTTATTTCCAAGTGTCCCAACCATTTTGGCCGGGATTGTCTGAATGTACAATAGCCTTGATATTGGATTTGGATATGGCGCGTAGTACGCGCTCAAATAATAATACACACACGCGCGCGCGCTGGTAACATGGTCAATGCACACGATTCACCATGACGGTGCACCATGTCATTTTGGCCGATATTCTTACAAAATACAGATTGTGTTCGACGTGAAAGCCGTATTAGGATACACAAACAACGTATCACGTTCTTCAATTTGTTTTTAATCCCTCATTTGGACGAAAATCCTTTCAAACCATAGTGTAACCACGGTTCACCGCTGTAAATTATATAAGAAGCAGAGTCACTCAATTCTTTTATAGTTTGGTTTGGATGGATCACCGATGGATTTTTCGGCAAATTAACGGAATATTAAGTGAATATGAACAAATTGACAAGGATTGTATGTTGTTTGTGTATCCTAATGAGCCTTTCAAGTTAAACACAAACTGTATTTTGTACAGTTGTTGGCCAAAATGGCATGGTGAACCGTCATGGAGAACCGTTACGATGCACGCAACTATAAAGTCGTGATTTTAAGGGATTGGAACATTTGTATTTTAATTTCCAGTTTTGTATTACTATCAATAATTTTTATCTGGCCTAAATATGTGTTCTTCCATTTATCCTTCGGCCACCATTTCATATTTTGGAAACAAAACTCAAGAAAACAGCTCCCCAAACGGCATGTCATGCATATTTTGAACAATGAAAAAATTCAGACAATCCTGGCCACATCTTGCTGGGCCCGCAACCCCCTAGCCCCCGGTCAATGTTGTCTCTCATTGCGCGGTGTGTGCTCCATCTGCTGAAGAGAACAACATTGACTGGGGTTGCGGGGGAGTTGGTGACCGTTGGAGGCTAATGTTATTTCCAAGTGTCCCAACCATTTTGGCCGGGATTGTCTGAATGTACAATAGCCTTGATATTGGATTTGGATATGGCGCGTAGTACGCGCTCAAATAATAATACACACACGCGCGCGCGCTGGTAACATGGTCAATGCACACGATTCACCATGACGGTGCACCATGTCATTTTGGCCGATATTCTTACAAAATACAGATTGTGTTCGACGTGAAAGC